AGTACGCGGAGCAATCTGTGGAGCTGGAAGCTGAGAACTGGCGACTTGGTAGTACAACTTTGGCGCGCGGCTGAGTCATCTCTCGCGGCTGAGTCATCTCTCGCGGCTGCTCTGGCACCCCTGCAGCTGAGTCATGTCTCCCGACCACCCGGCTCTCTTGAGAGGTTGACAAATTTTATTGCTTACTCAAAAGTGGTCATTTCGATTACTTTCTGGAGACCTCGAGACACATGTTTTGCGAGGTTGACGGTTGACAAATTTGAGCTAATTGGCTTCGTGTCTAGACAAGCTATCACATCATAGTTAACGTCTAGCTCCAGTTAGCTTTAGTGGAGCTAGAGCTAGAGCTATGCTTCACTCATCACTCATCACTCACGCGTCTGACTGAGGGACACGAGGGACACGCATAGTGGAAAGAACCGGGACACTCCTATAGGTCAGCTTCTTCTTATAGGAAACTTCCGCCGCCGGCTTGCCCGGGAACTACTTGTATATATAAATCAACTTGCTTTGAGGCACACCTACATCCATGCATTCTTTGGAATGGACAAATAGATTGATCTGAGGGAGCTACATTGCATGTGTGTGGACAAACCCCACCATCAAAACGCAGTTCATGACCAATTTGATCAAAATTGTCTTTCACAACGTCTAGTTCTTCTTGAAGCAATTGATATTATCATCATCAACAACAAAAGCACCTGTGTTTTTCACAACAAAGGCGGTTTTCAAATGTTCTGCGCTGGATCGTACATATTCTATACATTGGCACTGTACTAAGTGTTGGGTCTTAGACATCACTCTACTGCTATTGTTTAAGGAGGGTGGGTAGGCCAAATGAGAAGGTAAAAGCTAAGTTTAGTAGTAGCTAGTAGCAAGTAAGGCTAATGTAGGTAGTGGCTACTAAACTTACTGTAAGTAGTTTTTTGGGCGCCAGCACGCGGGCTAGGGCTCAGGCTTCTCAGGCTGGGGGGCGGGTTCCTTGAAGATTTTTAGGGAAACTTAAGCCTACTAGTAGCTAGAGGGTAGACAAGCATTACAGTAGTAGTTCTTAGTGCCCGTCCTTCTTTCTTGCAACTACTGCTTACAAGTCGTAAAAAAATGTTTCATGATGAGGGTGCGCATCGTTCAATAACAGCGGCTGCCATCCGAGGAGAAGTGATCAGCACCTGGGTGGATGCCATGCCACGGGACGTTTGAAGTTTCTTTATCTTCGAACAACAAAGTGCAGGCACCTGAAGGGCTATCTGGACACAAAGATCTGTAATGTATAAATCTGTATCTGTGATGAAGGCCACCATGTCGCCTGCAATACGATCTTTTTGCACCCTCACAATTCAAATGTCTTTTCTCTTGCCTAGAATCTGCATTGTGGTGTCAGTGGGGACGCTACTTCCATACCTGCGTGTTCAAAAAGCAGCTTGTTGATTGAATGGCCACAAAAGTTTCACAGCGTTGAATATATAATTGAATATACATGCTGTGCATCCTGATGCCACGGCCAGTCAGGGGTCACTTTCTTATGAGGTGCACAAGTGCATCCAAGCACTGTTGCCTGGCAAGCGGCAAGCAAGTACTAAGTACAGTTGGAAATGCAGTCGAGGCTATGTCTCCAGAATCCTTTTACTGTTGACGAAATATGTGGGTGCATGTACGTGGTATGCGTGCGCGAATCTACCGAGGTGCGGTGCATCAAAAACCTGGCTGCGATCCAATCCTTGCGTCCAAACTTAGACGAACTTCATCCAGTTCAATTCACCCAACGCAGTCTTACCAGTAGTTAGTAGTAGCTATAGTAGTAGTTAGTAGTAGTTAGTAGTAGGTAGTGGTAGGTAGTAGTAGGTAGTAGCAGCAGCAGCAGCAGCAGGAGTAGTAGTAGTAGTAGTGGTAGTAGTAGTAGTAGGTAGTAGTAGTTAGCAGTAGGTAGTAGCAGTTAGTAGTAGTTAGTAGCAGCCAGTAGCAGTTAGTAGTAGTTAGTAGTAGTTAGTGGTAGTCGTTAGTAGTAGGTAGTAGTAGGTAGTAGTAGGTAGTACTAGGAGTAGGTAGTAGTAGGTAGTAGGTAGTAGTAGGTCGTAGTAGCTGGTACTAGGTGGTAGTATGTGGTAGTAGGTAGTAGTAGGTAGTAGTAGTTAGTAGTAGGTAGTAGTAGTCGTAGTCGTAGTCGTAGTAGTAGTAGTAGTAGTAGTAGTGGTAGTGGTAGTGGTGGTAGTAGTAGTAGTAGTAGTAGTAGTCCTAGTAGTAGTAGTCGTCGTAGTCGTAGTCGTAGTCGTAGTCGTAGTCGTCGTCGTCGTCGTCGTAGTAGTAGTCGTCGTCGTCGTCGTCGTAGTCGTAGTCGTGGTCGTAGTCGTAGTCGTAGTCGTCGTCGTGGTCGTGGTCGTGGTCGTGGTCGTGGTCGTGGTCGTGGTCGTCGTAGTCATAGTCGTAGTCGTAGTCGTAGTCGTAGTCGTAGTAGTAGTAGTAGTAGTAGTAGTAGCAGTAGTAGTAGTAGTAGTAATAGTAATAGTAGTAGTAGTAGCAGTAGTAAGAGGAGGAGTAGTAGTAGTAGTAGTAGTTGTTGTTGTTGTTGTAGAGTAGTAGTGGTAGTGGGAGTAGTAGTTGTTGTTGTTCCCCACATTGACGTGTGGGTTTTTTGTTTTTAGTGCTGTATCCTCTCCGCTCCTCCGCCTCCCGCCCTCCCGCTGCTCACTCACGCTAATCCATCCAACCACCAGCAACCAAGCACGCCAACCAACCACCAACCACCATCCAACCAGCAACCAAGCCCATCTCCTCCAGGGTGGTCAACACCTGGCCAACAACGGCCACAGGAAGGTTCAGTTGTTGTGGACGCACGAGGTTCGGTAGTGGCCAATGCGGTAGCAATTCACGAGCTTCTGGGCGCGTTGGGCAGCACCATGCTCGACAGCGGCTTGTCCAGGAGTTCAGGAACACGCAACATGAAGTCCAGGACCTGATCTCCAGCCCAAATGCACCGTCTCAGTGTTCCTCTGTGGGGTGCCAGGCACAGGCGTGGGCGAAGAGAATGGTTCTATGGCGCATGCGACGTAGGCCTTGGAGGGGTTGAGCCAGTCCTCCTTCTGCATAGAGTGGCTGTCATCTTCATCACGCATTGCAAAGTAGACCGCCGCCGAGCTTGCCATAGTGGAAGCTTTCGACGTCGATCCGGGCCTCTTGCCCTTGCCAACTCCTTATGGGCCTTCTTTGTCACTGACCAGTACCTTTTCTGATTGCGTTTCCGAAATTTTGTCTTGAGCTTCAGCTCCTGAAGTCGGGCACGTTTCTCTTGAAGAGACAAGCTTCCAGAGACGTGCCTTTGTCCAGCGAAGCCGTTGGCACTGAGTAGGCCTCGTACTCGAGCTGCAACACTTCAGCGGCCATGGCACAGGCTTCTTCACTTTCCATTGAGGCCTTCTTCCCTCATGTACTAGCCCGCGCACTCCGTCATGAAGCTTGTTCTCGGTGACAAAAAAGTAGAAATGGATATTGATTTGGACAAAAGTTGTCGATGCCGGTCGCGCCGGCCCGGAGACATCGCATTATCGACATCGCAGACGCATGCGCAAGCCCGGGGACACAGCATTATTTACATCGTGGGTGTGTTCGTCCGTGTCTCCTGCCCGACCGAGACACAGCCGAGATAGACAGACCGAGACAGACACACCGAGACACACACACCGAGACAGACCGAGACAGATAGACCAAACAGACCGACCGAAACAGACAGACCGAGACAGAGAGACTGAGTCAGACAGACTGAGACAGACACACCGAGACAGATCGACCGAGACAGACAATTGACATCGTGCGTGCGCTCGTCCATGTGTCCTGCTCGACCGAGAAAGACTGACAGACCGAGACAGATGCACCGAGACAGAACCCTTTGTGAAAAGGCTGGTGACTAGATAGGGCCATAGCGAAACGCTTCTTCACGCTGGAGCCCGGTTGACATTTCCTCCCGGCTCCGAGAGCACAAGTTGCTAGTTCCCGGCTCCGCGAGCGCAGGTTGCTGCGGAGCCGGTGGGGTGCTAATGACACACTCTTCCCATGTATGTCTGGTTGTGTGTTTGCATGTATGTAGAATGTATGTCTGTATGCATGGATGGATGGATGTCTATGTCTGTACGTGTGTGTAACCCTTGGACTCACAGGGAACCTTTCGGTGTTGAGCAGGAGTAGTGCCTGACTCTTAACAGCGGCAGTCCAACGAAGAGGCTGTTTTGAGTCACTGATATGGATTTTGGACGCAGAATCCACGTACCTGCTGAAGTGTGATGTTCACAGGCTGTGACCCTACTCTTCCTTAAAGGGCTAGTGCACTCGGCAGACAAGAGCGGAGACGTCATGTCGACCTGTTCGTCGTTTCGTGGAGTTGAACTTTTGGCCTTTAACTAAAGGCGCTCAGGCCTCCTTACCTGGTTGTTCAGGATTCTGGTCTCTTAGGTTGCCGTGTGGCTTGTGGCATTCCGATCTGCCCGCAAAATCTTAAGTGTGTCTGTCTTCCCTTTACTCTGTGCGGGCGGCTTCGACCGCGAAGCGGTGTGAATTATCTGCACGAATACTCTGTCTTGCCCATGCTGACGTTCAATTAACTTGCAAACCTTGAAAAGGTATACACCGAGTCTTTAGCATCTTGTTGTGGGACAAATGGTTGAAAGCATTTAGCGCGCTTTTTCTGTGATGTCCTGTAAACGCCTCGCATGAAAAATCGCCTGGGATGTGCTCATGCTTGCCTCAATCCATAGTGGGTGGAAGTAAGCATCCAATCCAACATCTATATTATATGATATTACATATAGGCCGTTGCTATTAGATTGCAGGCCATCGCTATTATGTTGGAGGCCATTGCTATTAGGTCATCAGCTAGTGTAGCTATAGCCGTCCCTTCACCAAGACCAAGCTGCGAACATCTTGTAGCAAGCGTTTAGCAGTGAACATGGTCTGCTATTGCTATTGGCAAGTGATGAGGAATCTCCCTTCGCGCAAATGCCTTCCAGTAAACTATGCGGTTGATCTTGCTTAGTGTTGAGCTTTTGGAGACAAACGTTAGCTATCCAAAGATACAAATATCGTCTCGTGTTGGTGGGGAGGCCATCAACCTCGCATGCCTTGTTGTTTGAAAGTCTGTTTACGACAGAGTCGACAGAGTCGACAGAGTCCAGCTTAGGAGAGGTGAACGAGCAAACGACGATGTGTCGGTTACTGGAAGCACCACTTTGCTGCCAGATTGAACTATCAAGAACCAGTTGGATCAGTCGCGCTCTTCTGCGCCTGAAGGATCGGCTATTCTGGCTCAAATATTGTGACAGGTTGCTCCCAACCTCAGAAAATTCATGTTGCCCTCCTATTGCCGCACGTGTGACTTCAGGGATCCACCTCAATAGACCCAGACTCACAAAACGGGCACGGTGAAGCGACCGGTCTCAGGGAAGGACTGCTGGAAGAATAGAGCTTATCGCAACAATTTGAACCTGTAAGACAAGCGTCTGAAACACATTGTGCGTTTTGTTCTCAAGAATGAAAAGCCAATGCGCCTTCGACATGCAAATTGTTCTTAATGCCTTAATGGCGGTTGATCTCGTGACCTGCCCACTGCCCACTGCAAATATAGCAAGAAGCCGCAGGGCCGGTCCAAAGAGCAATGCCGCAATCGCTCTCGCTTCTCACTTTGTCGTTTGTAACTTTACTGCTTAATGTTTTGCAGCAACCCTCCATGCTACCTCATTCTTGATGCGCTCCACAAAAGCAGGCAAACAGTCTTGAATCATCGGCTGAAACTCAGGAAGGTCCTGACAAACTGAAAAATGCGAAGGCCAAACTCGAAATGGAAACATTTGAAGTTCAAGGTCCAAGTTGAAACACTTGAAAACCGACTACATTTGAACTTTGGAAGCTTGCGAGGTCTGCAAGGTGCTGTCCCCAGTGCAGGCCACCAAATGCCCGAGGCACTCTAAAGCACTCTCTTTGACCTATCCAGCACTCCAAGCATTCTCGTGCGTTTGGTGCGAGGACGGATGGCTTGTGCACCCGTGGCCGGCGTGGCCTCTTGGTCGATGTCAGTCGCAAGAAGTTTTGCTTTGAGAACCTGATGCGACTCATGTGATGAAACTCATCTGATCAGAGCACTTCACTTTGCAAATCCTAAAAGACCTCTCAAGGCGCTCAAATTTGACAGGCCTCGAAGACCGGCAGCATCTCTTTGAGCTCTGCGCTTGTTTGCTCGGGAACCGGTCTGACAGGGTGGGTGGCTGGCAAGGATTCTATCCACAAAAGAAAAATGGCCTCAAAGTGTAGACATAGGCCCCTATAGCTCGAAGCGCCTGACGCACAAAGAAAGGATAATAGTTTTTCTGAAATGTTGAGGTAAACCCAGCCTGCGCGATGGACTTGTAGTAGGTATCCGAACAACAGGATAGAAACAACGGGCCTTGGGTCAGCTGAACAAGACAGGTACAAAGGAAGGCACAAAGAGGGAAAAAATGGAAAGAGTAAATGTCGAGCCATATGGGCCATATGAAATAGACGTTGGTACCAAAATGGAGTCCTTTGTCTCAACCGAACTGTTCGCAAAATTTGACGCTCAAGCTTGGGGACGGGCAAAGCTCCGCGGCTAACTGTTGGAACATGGCGGCTGTCAGAAAATTCTCAGCTAAGTGCCTTGCACAAAAAACAAAACAAGTAACCAACAACACAAAACGATCGCAAACAACTGGACTGCTGCAACTAAACCACGTTGTTTTCCAGTGCCCGGACATAAAGCTATCAGGTGGGGTTTGCAAGTGGGAACTTGAACAGAACCCAAACATTTTGTAGACGCTGCGAAAAATACAGTCCAATCCACACTGCGCACAGATCTATCAATGCCACAGCACAAGGATTGCCCTGTCGTGCTTGCACGCACACGACATGCCACCTGCGACCTCTCAGAATGAAGTTGTAAGGAATGTCCAGCGGAGTTGGTGGGGAGCGTATGGGAAGCGCACACGAGCGCCGATTTATGGCAGGCGCGCGGAGCACCGGTGCACAGGTCATGTGCAGGCGAACAAAGGGGCCCCTGAGCCATCAACCACGGTCATGAGCGAAGTATTAGGTGTGGTTTCCATGGATGAAGCCACGCATGATCGAGGGTGGGTCAGTTGCACGGGGTAAGGCACAGTGATCGGTCCTCAGCGATCACTGACATTACAAGCTCAGGCGGCTCATGTCGTGGAGCTCAAACATGGCCTAGTGAGTTTCGGCGCACGGCCACCAGAGCTGCGATGGCCAACCAGTTCACTTGAGGCCAGGGGGGTGAACGAAAGCTGCGAAGCAAGAGCGGCTCCAACTAGCCAAGGCTAGCTTTCGTGGTCACCTGGGGTGAGTAGGTAGGAGCCACCATAGGGCCATAGGGATTCTTCTCCAGACGCTTTTTGGGAATTGGCTGATGAAGAGGATGAAGATGATGAAGATGATGAGTCAGAGTGAAATCGGGCGGCGCTTTGCATCTTCTGGGCTGGTAGGCATGAGAAGATCCAAGGGGAATATGTATAAGAAGAACCATTCTAATTACTATACAGTTTGGCAGCAGCAGAGCACCGAGTAACAGCAGCAGCAGACCACCCAGCAACAGCAGCCGCAGCAGCAGCAGACCACCAAGCAGCAGCGGCAGCAGCAAAACACCAAGCAGCAGCAGCAGCAGCAGCAGCAAACCACCCAGCAACAGCAGCCGCAGCAGCAGCAGACCACCAAGTAGCAGCCGCGGCAGCAGCAAACCACCAAGCAGCAGCAGCAGCAACAGACCACCAAGCAGCAGCAGCAGCAGCAGGCCACCAACCAGCAGCAGCAGCAGCAACAGCAGCAGACCACCCAGCAGCAGCAGGAGCAGCAGCAACACCAGACCAGCAGAACACACAGAAGCAGCAGCAGAGAAGCAGCAGCAGCAAACAGTTTTGGTGTAAACCGCGGTTTGGTGTAAACGGTGGTGGGCGGCAGCCGTGGTTGGTGCAAAAGGTGGTTGGTGTAAAGAGTGATTTGGTATCAGCCGTGGTTGGCGTAGACCGTGGTTTTTTGTAAACGGTGGTTGGCAACCAGCAAGCAGCAACAGCGGATGATGCCTGGCATATTATGGGAAAACACGTGGTTGGTGATAGCCATGGTTTCGTGTGAACCATGGTTGGTGTAAAGCTTGGATTGGGATAAGCCGTGGTTGGTGTAGACCGTGGTTGGTGCTGTGGTTGGCGCAAGCCGTGGTTGGTGTGAACCGTGCTTTGGCGTAAGCCGTGGTTGGCGCAGACCGTGGTTTGGTGTAAACTGTGGCTGGCGCAAACCGTTTTTGGCGTTTTTGCGTAAACGGTGTTTCGTGTAAATTGTGGATGCTGTAAACCGTGGTTGGAGCAATACAAGCAGCAAGCAGAGTGGCATTAGTACGGGAAAGTATTCATGAGGCAGCTTGGTGAGATGAGAAGCTCATGGCCATGTCACACTCACCCACTCACCCGTCCGCAGGGGGGAGTTGAACCTCCGGAGGGGGCGAGGTGGGGGGTCCATAAGATTAATGTAATCAATTTTGTTGGTTTCCGAGGCGACATCCACCCCGTCATGTAACCTGCTATCGCACGAGCAACTCTGAGGCTAGCTGTCGTGATCAATCCAGAAAGGCTGAAGAGTTTTGCACACGGTGTCGAACTCCATGATTCCCTCAGTCGTGCTGATGATGTCGTGCGTATCACCAGGCGACAATCCAGAGGCAGCCAGGAAGCTGAAACTGAAGAAACCCACACCTTGCCCTCGCTGAGAGTGGATCTCCTCATGAATGCCATGCACAGGTGGCTACCTCATCCTCGCCTCCAACACACTCAGCTGGCACGCAATGGGATTTGCCAGAAGTCACGGAACTCAGCCTGGCTGACAGCATCGACATCTAGTTTGTGTTGTTGTATGCCATTCTTCTCCTCGTAGGGACAGATGATCGCGTAGGGATTCCCTGGGCAGGAAGCTCTGCATACTAAAAGCGCTTGCTGAACGCTCGTCACTCTGCATGATTTCGCCACTGTCTCGATTGAAACTGATGCGTTTGGCGACGAAATAGAGATGAAGCCAGCTTCCAAAGAAAGTGCGAGAAGTCCAGGACATTGCAAGTGGCCTTGCAGAGCCCGTCAAAACCACGAGGCGGCGCGCTAGCTCTTGTGGACTGGAGTCCTGGAGTGGAGTGAACATAGAGGTTACTTCGCGATGACGCTTCCTCCAAGTTCTTGCACTGCCATCCCATGATGGAATGTGACGAGAACCTTTGTCCGTCATCGGGCCTGAACCGAAATGAACTAGCCAAAGAGCTCGGTGAGCAAGTTGAGGCACCAAGGAAGATGGCGAGCAAGCAGCCCACAGAGACAAAGCGCCAAGCGCAAAGTAGCCAAGGCCGGGCCAACCTCAGTGCCAAGCAAAGTAGACAAAGAGCTTCTTCAAGCAAGTTGAGGCACCGAAGCCGAAGAAAGTCAGAGTGACCTGAAAGGCAATTCTCCTCAGGAAGCGCCAGGCTCCGCTACCAATCCAGCGGAGTTGGTAGGAGCGTGCGAAGACAATGTCAATGACTCGAAGGAAACACGGGAGGCGCACACAAGCACCGCTTTATGGCAAGCGCGCGGAGCGCCGGTACACAGGTCATGCGCAGGCGAACAAAGGGGCTCCTGAGCCATCAACCACGGTCATGAGAGAAGTGGCAGTAGGTGCGGTTTCCATGATTCAAGCCATGCACCGAGGGTGGATCAGTATTAAAAGGAAGTCCCTTTCAACTCAACCGAGAGAACTTGAGGAATTGAGTAGACCCCCCACCTAGAACTGTGCTTAAGAAAACAAATCGCCATCGCCAACCTAAGAAGCTAGGAGGCAAGGAAGACTAGCTGCCGATGGCTGGCGTAGTTGACGACTTTAGAGATGCGCTTTGTCAGCTTTTCAGCCACCTTGAGCGTCCCTTAGGCACCCCAGCAGGCGTTCATGGAACAGAGAAACTGGGAGAGAGGGTTTGTTGCCAAGGTCTACCATGTCATTGTCTTGCTGTCCGAGTTCTAAGAGAATTGACAAATACACAAAATTACACCAGCATAGACCCAGATAGCAAAAACTTCTGGGCTGCGCCCTGCATTGGCAGCAGGAGTCTTTTTTACATTAGAAAAACCACCGCAGTACAGTGTGGCGTGTCTCCACTACGCGCACAGCCAGCATCAGCACCAGCACCTGGCACCGGCGCCCAATCAAGCCCCAGCAACCTGGCAGCGCCGGCACCCTGTGTCCGCCAGGCGCACAGCCAGCACCAGCGCCCAGCACCGGCACGCCAGCTCACAGCACCAGCGCCAGCGCCCAGCACCGGCACCCAGTCTCCATGACGCGCACAGCCAGCACCCCTGTCTCCACCACACTTATGGATATGCATACGGAACTGAAAGCGGTGCCACACGCCGGCCTAGGGTTCCAATTCGTAAGGGTACACGTACGAACCACTGGATCCTGGAGGTCTTCAAGAGGAAGTAGGGCCCAAAAGGAAGAAGACGAGCGACGAGCCGACAAGATGACGTCGTAGCGCGCAAGTCTGCGGCTACTTAGGAATCATGTCAGGAGGTTCTGGGCTTAGCCTCATGCCATTCGGAAAAGGAAAATTGCAGGTACGTCCAGCTGGCCAAGCTGGATATCCCACCAGATTGCATAGCTTTGTTAGACACGGTCTGCAATCTGGTGCCGTGTCCCCCTGCAGACTAAAACAATTCAAGAGAATCCCTGTGACTACAAGGGTTACACACACACACGCCTCCCCGAGGGGAGGCGTAAAGCTGAGGTGAGGGCCAATGTGTATGTGTGCGCGCGCAAGACAAAAAGAATGAAGACATGACAGGAAGACGAGACGGGACAAAGGTGCGTGTGGTTGAAATGAAAAAGGAACCAAGTGCACAGGGACACCCGATGAAGCCCACCTCATTGAAAAGACCTGGGCGACCTGAAACCTGTGTTTAAAGGTATGTAAAAGTGCACGTACACACTAAGGCCGGGACCAATGTGCACGCAAACGAAGGAAAGGATGAGATGACCAGACATGAAGACAGGAGGAACAAAAGTGTGTGAAGGGGAAGGGGTGAAAGGGGAACCAAATGGAGGGGACGGAAACCGATGAGACCAAACCTCATTGCAACGACCTAGGTGACCTGCCTCGTTTCAATGTACACGCTGTGTGTGCACCCAAGGTCGCGACAGGTTCCAATGAACCCTAAACTGGCTTTGACCGCTATGGTCACCTTGTGCCCTGCCGAAATGGCTGGCTGCTTTGGCCGCTGCGGTCACGTAAAGGCATGAGCCAACTTGGAATTCCAAAGATGGGACAAAATCATAGTTCTTTCGGCCTAGGCCACCTGCTGTCCGCTGCGGACACTTACGTTTCCAAAGCAAAGGAAACAGCGACAAACCCCCGTTCGACGGGTCCACGGGAGGCACTCTGTGGGCTCATCCCGGGTTGGCACGAGGCCAAACATTTATAATTTATGGATATGCATACGGAACTGAAAGCGGTGCCACACGCCGGCCTAGGGTTCCAATTCCTAAGGGTACACGTACGAACCACTGGATCCTGGAGGTCTTCAAGAGGAAGTAGGGCCCAAAAGGAAGAAGACGAGCGACGAGCCGACAAGATGACGTCGTAGCGTGCAAGTCTGCGGCTACTTAGGAATCATGTCAGGAGGTTCTGGGCTTAGCCTCATGCCATTCGGAAAAGGAAAATTGCAGGTACGTCCAGCTGGCCAAGCTGGATATCCCACCAGATTGCATAGCTTTGTTAGACACGGTCTGCAATCTGGTGCCGTGTCCCCCTGCAGACTAAAACAATTCAAAAGAATCCCTGTGACTACAAGGGTTACACACACACACACCACCACGCAGCACAGCCAACGCACAGCACCCAGCACCAGCACCACAGCCAGCACCAGCACCCGGCACCGGCACCCTGTCTCAAAAGCGCGCACAGCCAGCTCATTGTTGTTTGAAGTAAGAACCCCATAGCTGTCGCTATCTGGGAAAACATACTGTCAGGGCTTTCAGCCTTTGGTGCCTTTCAGAAACACAAGCGCATGAGCAAGCCAAGTAAGCCAAATGAGTCTTGGATATGGAAACCCTCACATAAATGCAGACAATACCTCTGGGTCGCATGAACTTTTACAGTAAAGTTGAAATCGCACGTGAAAACAAAAGCTGGGAAGCTTCAACCTCCACTCACGGCTTCAGTTCAAACCTTTCGGTGCCTTACCTCCAGACATTGCACACCATTAGATTGTCAAGAAAACACCTTGACCTCAGCGAAATGGCCACCCAGACGGAATCCTCCGGGTCTATCTATTGCTGCACAAACCCTTTACAAACCTGTGTCACTGTCAGCTAGACTTGGCTGGCTGTCACAACCAAACTATACACCCAGCTAGTCTTGTTGAACCTGCAAGCCAAAGCCCTTTGGACCCGGGAATGCAAAATGCCCGAAATCTACTGAGGACTGGTGTTGCCAGATGCATTTCTTCTGCAGCATTTCAACTGGGGGGAAACCGCGATACGCCTTGCTGACGAACAGAGAGCCCTGGGAGGGGGGCGCAGCGGTTTTGCTGCAGGGCGAGGCCGCAGTGCGGGATTGAGCTGACTACAAATACTTTCCAAGACTCCCACTACGGGAGTGAGAAGCTGATGTAGATCCAAATGTTGAGGTCGGCTGTGTTCAAACTTTGGTGGACCCAGCAGGAGAACGGTCTCTGTGGAAGTTGCGGAACCTAGGATGTTGGGAACGCACCACCTTTTTTGCGTTTCTCCTCCCGGGCCTGACAAGGATCAAACTGTCAAGCCGCATGGAGGAATTTGATTCCTTCATGGCCCGAATCAGCTCGTCTTTCACCTGAAGAAATCTATATAACCCAAAAGAAGAGAAAGGAAATTCGGATATTTGCAGTGTTTTCAACACATTCTGCAAGATTGGCAATGCAATTTGTACTCTTTGCCTGCGGGAAATTTGGTTCCACATGCTGTGGTATGCATTCAGACCTGGACAGAAAATCTCATGTGGAAAGGCTCAAAACAGATCGATTTGTAGCGCTAGAAAGGGCATGACAATGTGAGTTTCATCTCTGAGGCTGTGACAGTGTTCGCAGAAGCGCAAGAGCACCCTGTCGGGTCTTCGCCGCCTTTTCCAAGGAACTCAGCTCGAAATTGGGTGAAGCACAATCATGCAAGAATTGAAACCACTGTCCATGAGTCCATGGCGTTGCTAGACTTTAGACTCTCTAGCCTTCAAAAGGGATGCAACCCATGATATACAGCTTGCATCAAACCATGAAAGGACCGGAAACCCCCACATGGAAAGCGTTTCTAACAAGCGGGAGGCAAAAGCGGATCGAAGAGGAATGATAGCGGATGAGTGAGAGCAAGTGTGAGAGTGAGTATGACAGTGAGGTTGTGGCTGTGAGTCAGAGAGAGAGAGAGAGAGTGAGTGAGTGAGTGAGTGAGTGAGTGAGTGAGTGAGCGCGACGGGACGGGGCGACAGGACGCCATTAAAGTAAGAACCTCACATAAAGATGTGGTAAATACATAAAAGTGGTCTGAACTTCCAAGAGCTTTTCGGTGATTCGCACTGACATCCAACAGATCTGTATAGAACGACTTTGCCTTGGAACGCATCTGCTTGTTCAGCTGAGATATGTATGAAGGCATCACCGCAATCAAATGATGGGCATTTGGTCTTTCCTGCCACACAACAATGACAGCAATAGCCGTCTGTTACACATTGTCTCTCCAAGGTGCTTGGTGTATTGCTTACGATGCTGCAGCACATGCATATCGAAACTGCTTCCACACTGCTTCCACATGTAGGAATGTAGGACTTGCATCCTCTCCTTCGGGGGGGCAGGCCGCTCGACCTAGCAGGCTTCAGCCACAGTCAACAAAACAAGTCAGATTGAAATAAAAAGATTCAAATGAGAAACCCCGCCTCCAAAATAAAGGAGGATGAAGAAGAATGCGCAGAGGCAGCTCCCGCAGATGCCACTAAGAAGGGCTGCGTCTGACAAAGTACGGCTATTTTGAAGGCCATATTTGCATGATGGTATGAGGCTACTGTTCAAGCTTGATCCTGTACCTTCACCACAGCAGCTTGCGCCATTTCTCCGAAAGTTGTGAAGACATCAAGTTTCACACTTTCCTCACCTCAACCACTCTTGCGGACAAGTACACCCTTTACACCTCCCAAAAGGAAAGAAGGAAGAGTTCCTATATCAAAAAAGTGTTTGCAAGTGTCTTTGGTTTTTGAATCGTTTCGAGCTCCATGCGCTCGTTGAAGCGATTGATCAGCGGCTGCGCAAACTTGGCGTAGATTTCATCCAACCTTCGATCCCAAACGCATCTCCGACCAGTGCCTTTTGATTGTCTATGGAGGATTGGCCGTAAAGGGGGTCCAGGGTAGGTAGGAAGGCTTTAGTAAGGCAAAGTAAGTAAAGCAAGCTTAAGCTCCTAAATAAGGCAAGGAAGCTTCCAGGAAGGGATGGGACACAGGCGGGCTCGGCTTCGTCAAGGAAATGTCTTTAGGCAGATGAGAAGCTTCTCTTTGAAGAACTAGAAACTGTTGTATTGATGTCCTCTAGTCTTATGTGTGTTTAGGGAAGCTCAGCGGTAGTTGCTCCAAAAGCTTAGGACTTCAACCAAGGCGATACAGCTACCGATATAGATGTTGGTATTGTCTGTAAATATGGCAGTAAGCATAAGTTTAAGATAACACGTCCATCTAAAACCACCTGGTAGTTTCCGCTCGCAGTGATCCTCTGAATACTATATTTTATGTATATGTAATGAACAAATACAAATTTTGGATTCAGCACAAAAAACTGACGAAACGATTGTGCTCTCACCACTACCAGTGTGTCTGAAAGCAGAGAAGTCTACATGGCAAGCAAGCAATTAGATGCTGAACCAACGCCTTATAATGCCGTAAGGGTTTCCCTAACTCGAGCATTGCACACGGCACAGCCCCTTAGTGACTTACTATCCCCGTCCCTGCAGTGACAAAGGAGAGGCAGTTCATGGCACCTAACTAGGTGGAGCTACAGCTGAAACCAGGGCAGATAGATAGATATGCAAGGTAAGGCCCTCTTGCTTTTCTTTCTTTAGGCATGTTTTGTTTTGTTGGATCTGCTTCCTTTCCAATGTTCCTTGTGTCCTTTCGTTTTGTTTTTCTTCTCACTTTTCGACCTTTCTGCTTCCTCATTCTACCTGCACTATTACCTTTAGCTCGCTCAAAACTGCTCAAAATAACGGTCTGGCGACACAATCCGAGTCTGAGTAAGATCAAGGTAGACAACTTGCACAGTGTGCTTAATGATGTGATTGCAAGATTCTTGAACAGGATCTTCGAGCTGTGGTATTCAAGTCTCCTTCGGATTTGGTGCCTACATCTATTTCTTGGGACCACAATGACCCCAAAAGCTTCTTGCTGGAACTGTCGCCGAAAAACCTTCTGGTGCCAGCATCGAGACGTCGCTAAGCTGTCTTTCACCAGATCACCGCAATTGTTTTTCGGCTGCGTACAGCCCAAGTTGATTCTCGGAGCTGCCTAAATGTTGCTTTTTGATAACTTGGGCAGCCCTAAGGGATGCAGATGAGCACAAATGTGTGTATATAACTGATCAGGGCGGAGCTGTCCTCACATGTTCTAAAGCCCACGGAGACACTGCGCAAATTTATTCACCATCAATCAACACCGGCGAATCGTGCCTGTCCGGCAAACCCTTCACCATAGCCTCGAGCACCTGAAATGGTCATGACTCATGACTCTTTTGTGTGTCCTTTTATGTCTTCCCCTTAATGATATTGTCACACTCCTGGCCTTTAGAGCAGCTCTTCGGACCTTCCACGAATTGTCATCATCATCAGAATCCACCAGGCCATCCTCATCAAACTCTTCAAACTCCTCCATGACGGCGTCCTTCTCAATGTGGCACCAAAAAACCTTCTGCAGGTACCCAGAACGACTCTTAGCCCTCTCAGCTATATAATTCGTATCGAAAGCTTGCCATGACAAATTGCACTAACACAGACCCCACAGAGGGATCTCTTCAATAGCTGCAAAGCCCACGGCACGCCCTTTCTTTTCTGATGCCCAGCTTCGACGAACACCTGTCCATTGTATACAAAGTAAGTTCTTCACACTTATATACTTGGAGAGAAAAGGCACCACAACAAGAACATGAACGGTTTGACCCCATAGTCACAACATGCCATCATACCACCCAATGTCAGAACGTCGCCGTGCCAATGCCAACATACACTCTGGATCCCACGCCAAAGTGCCACCATACCGATCTGATGGGAGACATGTTGGAAGACAAGTTGGGAGACCATCTTCCAGATTGCCACCCTGTGGGCGCCACAAAAAGAGAGGACAGAAGACTGGCTTCGACACAGCTCGACCGCGGCTGCCACAGTCCACCACACATGCTGGGAGACAAGCAGGGAGTCCGGCAGAGAGACTAGCTTGGAGACAGGCAGACCCTGGCCACCAGACAACCGGACACAAGCTCAAACTGAGACAGGCGGTCTCTCCGCCACACACTCCTGTCCAAAGATGAGTGGACCAATTCGTGATTGATGTTGGGAAGCCTACAACAAAAAGGTATGGGAAAACTCTCAAGCTTTTGGGAGGCTTTTTAGAGCCTGCATTAGCTTTAGACTTTAGAACAAGCATCCTTGTCGGGAGCGTTGTTTTAATTCAACTGCTTTGAAGGAAGCGAAGACCATCTTCTCTCGCTTGCTACACCTAGCCTATCCTATGTCCCTTTTGGCAGCCATTGTCGCAACGACCTCCTGAAAATCAAGATTATTTTTGTGCCGGATTCATACTCATCAGGCGTCTGTTGTGGTGGCAACTAGCCCGAGCTACAAAGACTGTGCTGTCTTGGCTTCAGGAAGCTTCTCATGCAGTCTCAAAAAACTAGTTCTGATGGCGGAGGATGGACAAAACAGAGTGAGAGTAAGGATTGGATGGATGAAGATGAGGGTAAGAATGGATGATCATGAGAACGGATGAGGATGGTGATGGATGGGTAAGGAGGAGTATGGTGAGGAAGCATTGAGAGGTGGATGAGGATGTTCAGCAACGGATTTGAAACCGTTCAAAAATGAGAACTTACAATTGAAATATATAACCCTAATAGAACAAGCTTCTGAAGGAGATTTTCCGTCTGAAGCATGCTAAAGCACGGAGAAGTCACGTTGCCTACCTCACCAACAGTATGGTTCGGTGATGGTTGAACTTGTCACGGAGTGGTTACGGTTGAGCTATAGAATCTCATGAGATTTAGCCTAGGTTTGAACTGGGAGTGATTCAAGTACAAAAACGTATCGATATAGAGAGTGAGGATCAAGAATTGTATCCCTTTACGTTCCAAATGACACTCGACAGAAAAAACACGCTTATGTGGAAGGCGATGGGAAAGTCTGGTTCATGCAAAGAAATGCAAAATGAGGGTTGCTTGAAAGCTGTCCGTTTGTCCTGAGCATCGCCCGAATCGTAGAAGTTTGGGTCGTAGGAGATGAGATTCAGGATCACTCCACAGAGTTCATCCAAATGAGGAGTCATCTGGCCAAGCAAAGCTGAGCAAAGCGTACAAAAGCTCATTATCTCTCCATAAACCAGCAGGCATTCCTCCTTGGAACTGCGCAAGACGAAGCACTCGAAGGCATTCAAGCAATTCTCAACCACCTTCATGCTCAAACACTCTGAAAAGCATGAAACTGTGAAAAAACCAAGTAAATTAAGAGCCTCGTGATCCTTTTCATTGTCGCCGTCCATGGAGACATCCTCCTGAGTTGCCTGCACAGCACGTGGCGAGTAGTGTGTATCCAGCACATGTTCTAGGCAATGCACCAATCAACACTAAAGCTGCATTTCACATTTCACCCTGTGGCCTGGTTGACTATTTGCAACAGCAGAGGTGCAATTTCCTTCAAATGCTGCCCAATTCTGAAACCTAGGGTTCAAGACACGCATCAAGACCTTCAAGGGATGTAAATTTGAGGCTGCCACCTACATTCCGACTCACCGTGCTAATGCATTGAATATACCTGAACACATTCTGGTGGTCTCCAACAGCTTCGCGGAGCGTACGTCCTCAATGCTTGGAACGACAGTCCGCAGCATCCTTCTCCCGACTCACCAGGGGCACTTCTGTTTGTCTGCTTTGGTTCCTGCAGAGCGAACGTCCCCCAATAATGTCCTGACCAATTCACACAAATGACAAATGTTCTTGCGTAAAACCACAACCACTTGTGCAAGAGATGTCGTTCTATCCTCATGAGGGTATCCAGCTGGCGGTCAGCCAGAACTGACGACAATGCTCCAATGCAGGCGATGACCTTCAGAAAGCCCAATCCACTCAACAACAACTATATAGCAAAAAAGTGATGCACATCTGTCCAGTTCAGCAATCTAAACTGTTCTTGTGTGCTATCTTGGCTGGAGGCATTTGTGCGGGTATAAAGGCTTGCTCACTTGCTCAAACCACTTCGGCATAGGGTAGGATTCTCAAGTACGGGTGCGACACATTTGATGGAGGCCAGTAGAGATACCGCGGTCGGCACCACTTGTTGGCTGCAAGAGAATTGCAACCCCACAGCAGTTCCTTTGCATTCTCTTTTTGCCATTGTTGATGTGTTCTCCTCCCAACTCATGTGCCACCACTGCTTGTCCCAAATCTGAAATGCTGGCACAGTCCTTAACTGGAGGACTTGGACAACAAAGTGAAGCGGTGTCCAACTCAGTTACCCACTGCGGAAGAAACATACGGCCATTGTCTGTCCACGCTGGCACGTTTGAGGTTGGCAAGTCTTGAATCGACTCAGGAATCAGGAATCCCTGGAATCCCTCCACTCGTTTATCTGTATAAAGCTGGCAATGTCTCTTTCGCAGTACTCAGTCAAATGGATGAGGGAGGAAACAGGGTGCAATTCATCAAACCCGTGAAACCTGCAAACGTGAAGACCGTTAAGTGCTGGAAACAACAGCAACTGTTGATAAAACCTACTCGAATCACAACGCAAAAACTCATTGCATAGAAAGTGAATGGATATCTCACCGGCTTCGATGAACCACTCATCCTATTGTTTGACCGCATCCGCCCTTTCTACCTCCTGTCTGCACCTAGGAGGAAAACATGCCCTTGAGCGCTGTGAGCCCACAAGCTATTGTTGAATTTTTGAATTATCTATAATTATATATATATACATGTTTACCACCGGTAGCATCCATCACCTGTGGTCGCAAAAGCTATCTACAGTTTGCGTGTGTATCGATAAAGTCAAGGCAGCCAGTCATCTTGGGAGATGGCTGAGTGGTCGACGTGGCCTCTTGATGGAGGAAACCATGGTCTCTTTGCTTCTCACTGCTTAGATAGCCATGAGACATTGTTTGTGGCAGTGAACTTACGGCCGCGCCATCCAACTCTCGTGGCCGATGCTGTGGCTCCTGGTACTGTGGTGTACTTGCCTGGTCAGAGCAAGCGCCCACAAGACCATGCCACGGCTATCAAGGCCCTTTGCGCGCCGATGGCCCAGAGCCCTTGTGGCCCCTCTTCGTTTTGAATCTGAGTCGTGACTTGGAAGAAGCTGTCTTTGTGTGAGGGCACCTGGGCCTATAGCGGCATCATGCTGGATAGGAATTCCGTGCACGTATATATATATATATATATTTAGTTGTTTGTTTAAGCCTATATTTATATATATCCAGATATGTATGTATGTGTATGTATGCATACATACATACATGTACGTATGTATGTGTGTATGTATGAATGTATTTATGTATGTATGAATGAATGTATTTGTGTATGTATGTATTTATGTATGTATGTATGAGCGTATGCATGTATGTATGTATGTATGCTTTCTCCTGCAGGTTTGTGTGCTCGGGGCCCAGTTGGCCGTCTGCTAGCCGTTGTAGCGCAAGGTGCATCTCAGAAAAAGTCCGTCCATGTTGTCAGCATCCTCATCAGGTGGGGCAAAGTTCCCTTCAAACAGCCGGCGACAATGCCTCCCCTGTGGCGTTGCTGGCGCTGCTGCCTCTGGGGCGCTCTGGCTGAACATGGTTTTGAGGTCAGGTGATCCTTGTAGAGCCATCCCTTTGCGTTCTTTTCTCAAGCAGGTTGAGAGCACCAGGAGCTCCTGTGTATCCAGAAGCCAAGTGTCTTCATTTGCACTTGTGTACAGGGACATTGCACTTCTAGCGTTTGAAGTCTTTTGTCTCTAGAAAAAGAGCTTGAGAACCTCCGCAACGATCTGGGGCCTGGTGGGTTTCTTGCCAATGGGCGTATTGGGCTGCGGTGGTGGCGCTGGGAGGCCTTGTGTGAGCTGTTGTCTCATTGAGCCGCCGAGCCCTTGACTGGCATGCCTGGCGTTGAAAATTGAAACCACTTCTATGTGTATTGCTTTGCGGTGTGCCCTGCTCGTTTGGGCGGCTTGTGGATGTAGTGTTTTTGGCGCTTGATGGACTCAAGCCGGTCGAGGGCATGTAGATCTTCTTGTGATCCTGGTCATGGGCGCGCTGCCTGCTTGCTGATGTGGAGTGGTGTCACCCTGCGCAAGGCCTCTTCCGTGATGCCGTTTGCGAACCCTTTTCGTTTTGGGGTTTGTCCAAGCCGCCCAGCTGCACGATCACAGCGGCCTTTGCGCTGACATGACCGGCCAGAGCGCACAGCGTGGAAGAGCGCTCGGGCCTTGGTTTGTGGCGGAAGACCTCCATCCCTTGCCAGCAACCATGCCCTTCAACCGGAAAAGGGTCGTTCAAATGGTTTTGGGAGCTGCTTGGAATCCATCCATGGGCCCAAACTGGCTCTTCGTCCTCGTCCAAGATTTTTTCTGCCCATTATTTCTTGCCCCAGTGCTGAGCCATGAACGGTTGGGTCGATGACATCGGGTTTCACCAGCATGGGCCTCAAGGTCAACAACGAAAAGACAGCCTTCATTGCCGCCTCCGGCCGGTGAACACACCATCATGCCACATCTGCAATGTCCCCGCCACACCCAAGCCTTTGCCAATAACGGTGCTTTTGTGGGCAGCCTGCGGCCTTGCGTCGCAAATGGAAGGTGCTCATGTCCATGAGGACAACGACTCCATGTCTTTGGTTTGCTTTGGTGGTCTCTTGACGCGTGAGACGCTCAAGAGCCGCGTGGAGCGCGGTGGCTCGACCAGTGCGCCATATTGTTGGAAGCTTGTTCTTCTGCCATTGGTCGAGAAGGGTCTTTCTCAGTCTGCTCCATGAGAATTGAGGTGAATGTGATCGGTCGCTGGATGGTGAGTGGGCGTGGGCTGCTGGTCTTCAGTCATCTGCCACAATGTGCGCCAGTCATTCAGCCTGCGTCGAATCCGGTCAGAGCCATGGGGATGGATCTGTATGGCTCTTCCAGGGAGTTCGCTGGCTTTGAGGGGTTGAAAAAATTGGTTTTTGACTTTAACTTTTTACTCTTGGTAGCGCAGGGTGGCTTCGTCTCGGCTTTGCTGTTGGGCGGCCTGGAGCTGGTGGTGCATCGTGTGCTGGATGAGCTCTGGTGCGCGTGGGCCTTGAAACTGGTGCCAGTGAAAGCAAGTGTCGAGAAATTGGGCCCGTGTTGGGGGCTTTGACAAACCCCTTGACGGGGCCCTTCTGGGCAGTGGGCTGCTGGGCGGCGAGTTGCAAAGGTCATGGAGGCGTGAGCTCCCACCTTGTTATTGGATGAGGGCGTAGTCGACGGTGTTGCCCTTCACCATGCTCGCATCTGGAGCCCAAGACAGTTCCTTGGAACTGTTCTGGCGCGTATACTGCCGAGTTGAGGCTTCCACCAAAGCCAGCAGGCGTGCCAGGAACCCCCAATCTCGTCAGGCAGCTGCAACCAGCAATGACATGGCTTTGGAAGCATGATACCCGCAGCACCCTCAATGTGGTAGCTGGCGATGCCATGGGAGCGGTCATGGAAGATGAACATGCCTCCATGAGTTCCTTCATTGTCAGGGTTGCTGTGCGCTGGTGCGCCGAAGGCGTGGCGTCCACTTACCTCAACGTATTGGCACATGGAGGCGTGCTCTTGCTGGTCCAGATGTGTCTCGAACAATATCGAGAACCTGCTTGCCAAACCAGATCACATTGGCACATTGGAGCTGTGTAAATGGCGCGCATCCATCATGAGCAATCCACAGCAAATCGCGTCGGCAGACAAGGATGGCAAAGTATAGTGTCCTGTGTCATGGATGGGGCCTCTGTGGCAAATGTAGGCAATTGGTACATATTCTGCCGACGCGCGGGAGAAACCATCGAGGGATCTGAGCACTGTGAAGGGGCCATGAGGGTTCAAGGCCCTCTTGCGGTGACCTCCAAGGATCAGGATGCCGCCATGGGTGCCTGAGTTGTCTTCGTTTGGCCAAGCTGGAACTCCAAAAGCTGTTCTGCCTCTGATCGTGTAGTATTGGCAAGTCTGCTCATGTTTTTGTGGGTCCAGGTGTGTTTCAACAAAGATGTAGACCTCGCTCTTCCTCGTCCAGTACGAGTCAATGACTTGTCGGCCAAAAGAGTTGACATTGGCGTAGTGCAACTGGTTGTGTGCTTGTTCAAGTCGGGGTCTCTTTTCTGGACTGGGATGAAGAGGTGGATCAAAATCTGGTTCCTCTGCTGGTGGGAGCATCTGGATGACCTGTTGGGTCGTTCTGAACGTGTCAATGTGTACTGCCCAGACTTGTGTCACCTGGCTGGCTAATTGGGGTGTGAGATGTGCCAAGTGAATGGGAGGCTTGCCATCATCTGCCAGCCACATGAGGTCACGGTAGATGAGGATCGCAAAGTAGTGCCCTGACTCATGATTGGGTCCTCTGTGGCAGATGAGGGCCGCTGGGACAAATTCCGTTGAGGCTCTTGCAAAGCCATTGAGTGACCTGGGCGCTGTGAAGGTCCCGTATGGATTCAGGATCTTCTTGTGCTCCTGGTAATGTGGGTGACCAGGATGGGCTTGTCGTCCATGAGGTATTGCCCTAGGCCTTCATTGACCCATCCATTCATCAGGGTTTGCAGCGTGGTGTTCTCTGGCCAATCATGGTAGTCGACCAGAAGAGGCAATTGTACATGATCTGCCAGGTACCCTCCTGGTTTGATCTCTGCATATCTGTAGTGGAAATCTCTGCTCTGGGAGAGGTTCCACAAGGTGTTCACAAAGTGATTTGCATCCCCTTGTACATTCAGGTCGCGCTTCTTCCACAGTCTGTGTAGCCCTGGGAGAGCTTGGGTGTCCACTGCTTCAGCAAGTTCGAGCGATTCTTGGACAGCTGCATGTAGTGTTCCCCAGGGCTCAGTGTGCGTTTCCTGAAGGAGTGCACACGTCCAAGTAAAAGCTCTCCATGGTGCATTAGCGAAACACCGAGAGCCCACTGTCATGGAGAGGTTTTGCAGGATGCACTCCGTTGTTGAGGCATAGGTGTTTTGCATTCTGATCTTCGTCGGACTGGGTGTCTGACTCTTCACTGGTAGTTTGGCTCCTCCTCGAATGGTGATCACTTCCGCTCCAGGTGCTCCCCATGGATTTCCATCCGCGCCCGGTGCAGTTGTGTCTGCGGTGTCAAAATTGTACCATCTAGGGATGGTGTCTTGTTGCTCTGTATTGTCCTGTGTGGTGATTTCCCCTTCACCTGTACAGGTTGTGACCCCAAATTGAAATGGGTTTTGCTCCTTCGTGTCTTGTGGTGTCTGTTCCCCTGCACCCATGAAGTCCTGTGCCCCCGGTGGCGCTGAGCCTGATGCAGCACGGCAAACCGGTGTAATTGGCGATGCCTCAAAATCTTCCCAAGGTATCAGCACCAAATAACCTTGGGTCATGGTTTTCGTTCTGGTTGAACTGTTACCCACACTGCCCCCCTGGTGGTGCGGCCTGGGCATCAGTTTTCCTGCGCTTGTTGATCTCTTCTTCGTCTGCTTTGGGCCGCTTGAGGAGCCCATGTAGTTGAATTTTTTGCTCTTCAGGCAAGTCTATTCCCAGACTGGTCACAAAAGTCTCTACCGCCATAGGGATGGGCAGGTTCTTGGCGCTGTCAGGCTCAAGCCCTTCTGGCATGGGTGTCTGATTGACCACCTTCATGTATTGATCTGACAAGGTTTTCAACCGTTGCTGGCCATCATTCAGCTTGCTTTGCAGGTCCTGCATGTCCTGGAGCATGGAAGCATACTGTGCTTTGATCTGGTCGAGCCTGGTTTGAAGCTGGTTCTTCTTAATCGACACAGATTTCAAATCTCCCACCTGCGATTTGAGTTTCTGTGCAAGCTCTTTCTCGGTGTCCGGAATGGGTTGGGTGAGTTTGGTTACCACATCTTGTACTTCTTGTGGTAATGCCGTCATGTGGGACTTCAAGAGCTCAGTGAGCTCAGGCTCCTCTTGTGGAGGTGGTCCGTAACCGAGTGCGGTGAGCTTAGTCTGTATGTGGTCAGGTATGACATCCCAGGTGCTTGCCAGGAGTTCAGCTGCTGTGGCTTGTTCCTTGTGTTGCTTGAGTGGCCTGAGCCTTGAAAGGCCTGGCGGTGTGTCCAGTAGGTGATCTCCTGCTTGCTTCCTGGGCCAAGTCTTGCCGTGTCCATAGGGTTTTGCTTGTCCATGCCCTTGTCCTTTGCCTTTGCCTGTGGTGGCCAGTTGTTTCCACCATTGCCCGCATTTTCTGCATCGAGCTCCTGGACGTAGTTTGTCCTCCCAAATCCAGTTTCTGCAAACCGGGTTCTGGCAGTTCATGTAGTTGCGTCCCCACGACATGATCACTGCCCCCTCCGTGTTCTGGCAGAAGCTTTCTTCAGAGTTGGAGGCCGGTAGTTGACAATCTCCCCAAGGCCGAAGGAGAATGTAGGAGGTGTGTGGCTGGATGTCCACCAAGTAGTTGAGAGCGAGAACTGCCGGCCACCGAAGGTCAGGTCAGTAACGAGGTTCGTGAGGACGTGGATGGCGGGCAAAGAATGTGTTCTAGTTGGTGAACTCCCTGGGCCAACCTGCACGTCAAAGTCCAGGCAATGTTCGCGTGGGGGGTTCGCACTTACTGGACTTTGTTGGCCGCCAGTTTGAGTGCTTATGGCCTTGAGCCATGTATGTATGTATGTCTGTCTGTCTGTCTGTATGTATGTATGTACGTATGTATGTATGTATGTGTCTGCCTGCCTGCCTGCCTGCCTGCCTGCCTGCCTGTATGTATGTATGTATGTATGTGGATTGTTGCCTTGGCAAAGCTAGCCATGAAAGAGGCGTGGCCAACATGAACCTAAGCGGTTCATGCAAGCGGGTGGTGAGCTCTTGCGTGGCGATTGAGGGTAGCACGGCCTCTGTGGGTTTCGGGCGTGGTGAATATCTCAAGGCCTTGTTTTGGGAAGCTTTTCAGGAGCTGGGAACTTCTTTTGCTGCTTGATGCCAAAGCGGCATCTGATATTCTCCACTTGTAGAGTCTACCAGGCGAACAGCACTAGACCTTTTGACCAAGCGTTATGTCCATGCGTGCCTAGACCACGGCCAATTTGGCAGGAGCAGCGCTCACGGCAACATGAAAACCGTTCAAGAAGCACGGGTTTCAATCAAAGTCCGGGGTGGGCTGAAAAATAACTCGCCTGCTTCGATCGACCATTCATTCCATAGCACATGCAGGCACGTGATAGAGACTGTGACTAAACGCATTCATCCGATATCGACTCCCACAGCAAGGGATCTGGCTACACGCCTAGTTCCCTGTTGGACTAAAGGTTTTTTCTCATCAACGACATCCTTTGGGCGCACGTCAGAGGTTGTCTCATCTTACCGCGGATTAGGTTAGAGTTAGCTTTTTACTGGGACTTTTCCGCGCATGTGCAGAGGGTTGGAAACTTTTGTGTCTTGTATCTAGTTTGCAACAATCTGCATCTACAGGGATCACACTGGCCTTCTTCCGAAGAGAGGTTTTGTGCTGCTTGGGCTTTAGCAAGTTCAGCAATGAGGTCGCCATGTTGTCCTGGCAATCCATTTGGGTCTAGCAAGTCCTGTGTCTTTCTCTCTTCATTTGCGTCAAAAATGGCCTGGTCAGACCACTGCATAATTCGGTTGTCGCCTCAGTAGAAAATGAACATTCTGTACACCTCACTCTGACTATAACAAAGAAAACTAGCAGGTGTCTGTGTAAGCGCACGTGCTTTCCTAATGTCAACTGCAGCCATTCAATCGACATCCATCACATAAGAATCCGCACAGTTGCCATCCACACTCCATTTCAGCCCACACATATTTGACTACAATGACACACTACTACTATGCACCATGGAACCAGCGAAGCAGTTCGCACTTGGGGTTGCCACAGCAGCACTGGGTCGCAGACCGAATCGCTTGAGAAAATCATGAAAAACATCGGTGCACTCTTCCTTCACCTGCCAAAAAACTGTTGTGAAACTTGAAAGCTTTTACAACCCACGATATTTTTCACCGCCCCAACAGCTGGTGCCTCTAGTGAAGGAATTGATGTGATGCCATGCAGCATCTTGGGCAAGACCTAACCAGCTATACATTCTATCTGAAGCTCCTTTTGCGAGCAGTCAATCAGGAAATTGTAGAGAGCCCAACATTCTGGCAAGCCAGCGCACTGCAAGAGGCAGGCCTCAAGACGGAAGTGAGTTCACACAATCTGGTGCAAGACGCCAGAGTTATAGTTTGCTGTCAAGACGCAACTCTGTCAGGAGACCCTTCAGGCAAGTTGCATAGATATCTCGGACCTGTCACAGAAGACTCAGGAGTGGGCTGCACAACATCAAGTCATAGATAGTGTCTTTCCTTACGCGTGCTATATTTGATGCTTGTGGAACGCACATCATGCACTGATCCTCCCCAATTTACACTCTGCACCTCTGCTTTGCCATCAAGAACTTGCTGGCTCAGCTTGGCTAGCACCTTTCGGGCAAGTGACAGCCCAAATGAGAAACCAATAATTGGTGCACCTAGTGTCAGAGCCTCGCCGATCTGTTGCTCTTGGAATTTGCAAACGATCTTGGCCAAACATTTCACCTTAAGTTGATTGTCGGTCTATCGGTGCTTGACCGATTTTGTCAGCATTGGTCATTTAGCTCATTCCAAACGAGTGGCCGCGTTGCCCTGGACGTCAATGCTCTGATCCTGATGCAATAATCACATCGTCGTACAAGGCACTTTTGTGATAAATCGTGGCCGGCCTCCAGCTGCTTTACGAAAGACTGGCACACTCGTTTCTGAAGATGAACGTCCAGGACCTGTGAGTAAGGCTAGTCAGGTGGCCTTCTCGATAAGGCACACTGAACCATACAGCAAGTAGTTGGCTGGCACACCACGTCTAAACTACCCAAAAGAATGTTTCAGCAGTTTGCACGTTGTTCAAGGGAGGCCCTTTAACAGACCACACATTGTTTTGGACGAGGTTGATTCAAAAAGTTTCAAACACAACAACAGAATATTGGTGTCTTTGTGCCTTAAGATTTTGTCGTTCAAACATTCGGGTCCAACAAGGGGAGACTTGCATCCATTCCCAACCATGAAAGCAAACCGGTATTAGCGCACAAACAAAATAACAAAAACTATTGTTCAAATAACAAACAGCACCTGGTTGGACATTGTGACCTCTTGTGTCAAGTCGGAGGCCGCCATGAAGCGTTTGTCCTCCACGTTCAAAACAACACAACGGAAATGAAGTTGCATACAAAGATTCCAAGGCCTTGTCCCAATTTTCCATATCTTCCAGCAGTTGGGAAACGCTGGACAAGTTCATCGCCACCTTTGGTGCCACGCTGCACCACCTGATCTTCAAAGTTTGCCTTTACTGTTTTCGAAAGCTTTGCACACAAAGAATAGTTGCAATGCCCTGATGCCTCGACCAAATGGTTACCGATCCATTCAGACCCTGCAGCACTGTTTGCAGCCAAAAGGTTTGCGAAACTATGAATATCCTTTCGTACGTAAAAACAAAAAAACACATGCAAACGAATCACCGCTAGCATGTGATCCAAAAGACTTTTATAGAATATTTTCGGGTAAGATAAAGATCTTACGGCTGCACCTTAGGAACCAAGGGTTGGAATCAATCTTTGAAGGGTCCAAAACAAACGCCAGAAATACATTTTTTCCAATCTCGAAAAAATGCCCCAGTTCACAAAAGTTCCATTGGATGCATCCCAGCATGCTCTCAACGCTGGGGTCATCATTACAATATCACAATATTTGGCGTGATAAACTTCGGTTTCGCGGGCATCTGCGCTAGAAACATGTGGCAGTGGAATTTGAGTTGCATTGAAGTTCCTAACCACATATGTAGCTTCGTTTGGGCCATCTCAAAGTTCGGCGTTACATTGAGATAGATTTGTTAGGGCGCTGCGCAGGGTCATTATAGAGTTTTATCACATCTGAATCCCAACCACCAAGCTCAAAAACACAACCATGCTGGGGCCAGGAACATTTTGACGTGTGTCGCTGCAAACACTTGGAAAACTCTGTTGCGGGTGCCTGCACTGCATCGAAAAAGATCCAAGATGAACGTCCAAAAATCCATCATTGGTGTGACCACTCTTGACCCCACGTCCAAATGTCTGAAATGACATGTTTGTTCAACAGGCGACCCATTGACACTCCTTTTTATTTTTTGAGCGAAACCAAAACATGCGCACAATGAAAAACAAAAACAACGGATCCAGGATCAACACATCGACCCTGTTCAATCACAACTTGAAAACACCCTTCCAAAGGCCTGTGTGGCTTGGCGCTGCCAAATTATTGCCAATGAAGGAACGCCAATCACGCAAGCACACACATCACACACATCAGAGCACACACATGCCACATTTAAACAGAAAAAACATGTCATAACCATTGTGAAAATGAGTCCAATGGCGTTTTCACGCGTGCGACAGCGCGGTCAGCTCAAGGGCTTTGTGAACCTGGCAGCAGAATGTGCCATGAACAGCTCGGCTGCAGTTTTGGCTTAAATGTTGAAAACTGGTCCATAATCGGCTGATTTCTCATTTGCGGAACTGAAAAGACCGAAGCCCCATTTTCATTTTTCAGATGCGCAAGGCCACAAAGCGTCTCCATTTCCTTATCCATCAAATTTCACATACCCCTTGCTTGCGACAAAGTTTGCCTTTTCCACACACTTATGGATATGCATACGGAACTGATAGCGGTGCCACACGCCAGCCTAAGTAAAAAGCCTAAGGAAAACAGAGTGGGTAAAAAGCCTAAAGAAAACAGGGTGGGTAAAATGAAGCGGTTCAAAGCTCCACGAAGTCAAGGTCTCAGAATCTTCCAAAAGCTCCAAGGTTCCAAATTGTAACCGCGAAACGATCGAGCGACAAGGACGACGGAACGTGCAGAGTCTGCGGATGAAGAACCGTTGCAAAGGCTGGAGTGCTTGTTCTAGTTAAAAGCAGGCCCCCAGGATGAAGTGTCTCAAGTAAAACTGCAGGTACGTCCAGAAGGCGTCCCTTCCGGATATCAGCCACATTGCAGCCCTCTTCGTTGGGCAATCAACTGCAATGTGGGATTGCCCCCCTGCTGACTAAAACAATTCGAAAGAATCCCTATGAATACAAGGGTTACACACACACACACACGCCTCCCCGAGGGGAGGCAAGGTTTTTTTAGGCTCCGCGCCAAGGGTTGGGTGAGACTAGGTGAACTGACGGAGCTCACGGAAGGTCTGATATGCGGTCAGAGGTAGTCGAAGTTGACATATGGCATCACCATGTAGGCGGGGAGCGACGGTGTGTAGAGGTCGGTATGGGAAAGGAGTGGCGTCACGAGGAAATTCATTGGCAATCCCCAGAGGGCGGATCCGTCGGGAGTTGACATAGTAGAGCACGAGGTCCTCAAGTGTACAGGTGTGTGGGACTTCCCAAACACGAGAGTCACCGGTAGAGGGAAGGGCCATCCAAAATGCTGAGCGCTGTAGTCCCAAACGGGAGTAAATCACATCTTTGAGATCATCGACCTTGTACTCCTTAGTGTCAATTTGTTGCCAGTCGAGAGTCACTGTGATGTAGTTGAGGGGTTGTTAGACCAGCAAGCTGATGTCCATTTCGAATCGGACGGTGGAGAGGTTGGGTACCATGTCCAAGGTTTGGAGAGGTTGACGAACGTCACGCCATGAAGTGCGTGAAGTGGGTATTACCTGGGTCAAAGGTTCAGGTACTCGAAGACCGGGGGAAGAGATCATTGCCGAGAAAGAAGGAGGCGAAAGAATGGTGAAGATCGGTCTGGAGCGAACGGCTGCGGATGGCAGGGGAAAGGAGCGGAGAAACGAGCCAAAAAGGAACAGGGAAGAGAAGAAAAGAAAAAAAGAAAAGAAAACTGAGCAGTAATTAACCGAAAGGAAGTGCAGCGACCTGTTTTCGACAGGAAGCGAGATTCGAAGGGGTCGGAGAGTACAAGGGAAGCTCGTACGGCCTCAACCTTAGGATCATGAAGGTCTCCAAGTGCTGGTCAGTCGTGCGTTCCCTCAGCAGGTGGGAAAGGAGGAGCCAAAGTATGTTGGGAATCAGTAGAGGAGGAATTCAGTGACATAGATCCCGAATCAGGTAGGGGAAGTCCCGTGCCGCTGGCAACCGGGTCGATCGGAAGTTCTTGACCTGGAGATGCCGAAGGGGCCGCAGTAGAGCGGTTAGGTACTTGGGCGGGATCATCACGACGAAGTGCTTGCTGGAGCTCATCCTGGTATGTGGTAAGGGTGTGTAGGACCCCATCAATAAGTTGGTGTTGCGCAGGAGCCGGGAGTCCTTTGAGCATCGGGGTCTGAGAGACGTCCAGCTGAGAGAAGTTTTGTAGGAGAGTCTCCAGTTGGTACTGCACGTTGAGATGTTCCAAATTGTCCACAGCTTGTCGTTTCCGTCCTCTGGGTAGAGCAGTCGTGGTGGTGTCTGACATGACAGGGTTGGTCTCAGCAGCTAAACGTTCTTGCTCAAGGCGAAGTGCTTCTTCATATTTCTCACATTGTTCCCAAATGGGAAGACTTTGGGTGGCTGGTAGCACGAGTTGCCAGCCTCGGGTGCCCCACACACGGTAGTAAGCAGTGTGCCAATAAGATGCGGGGTGAGTGTCAAGGAAATAGCCGGACGCTGATTTGTAGTATTCGATGTCGTCGTGGTTCCAGCGAAGAGTCTTGTAGTGGAACCAGGAGCGATAGAACCAGTGACGAGGAGGGCCGCATTGGCGGCACGCCCATTCCTCATAGGGTTTTTCCACAGGCCAGGATCCATGGGCCGGGTTGTGAACCCGCTGAGCGTAGTCTGTGTAATCTTCGTTGTACTGGTTTTCAACTCGAGGGAGGCCTGGGAGTAGGGTAGGATCCAAAGTGTCTGCGTCAATCCATGTGGTGGAACCTGGGGCCAGGTTGACAACGACAGGGCGACCATCACGTCCGATTGGTAGAGCGAGGTGACTGGAGATCGCCATTTGCTCTGGGGTGAGAATGCAATCATCAGTGGGTACTTGAGTCGGGGATGAACAAGTCGAAGGGTCATCGTGTGGAGCGTCGGTGTTCTCCATGACAAGCGAAGGGAAACGACACAAGGGAAACGGAAGGCGTGTTTCTGAACCGAGTGGCTGCGGAAGGAAGAAATCAGGAAGGGAAAAAATACGTGGGGAAGAAGGAAAAGGAAAAAGGAAAAACCGAAGTGCGACATTGGCTGCGGTCATGCTCATTTTCCAAACGGGAAGCGAAGAGGTAGGATGAAACCAACGTGAATTATTGAATTAAGGCTTGGCCTCAGGGAGTCGAAAAGGTAGCGAGCGGGGAATGAGAAAAGGGACTTCCTCTCCATTGAGCTTGACAAGTAGCCACCAAAGGAGGAGGGAGAGTCGAAGTGGATGTATTCGAGGTCGGCATACTCGTACAAGAAGAGGTCGTGGGAGAAGTCGAGCTGCACGTAGAGGTAAACGTCGTCCGCAGTGAAATAGGAGGTTGTGTCGGACGAGCTTTCTTCGGGAAAGTGGTGGAGATGAGGACGGGTTCATCCGGGTCCCGAAGATGAGAGGCCATGGAAGGGCGAGGTCGAGAGTTTGTACTGGATGGAGCTGGTCGAAACGTTCGAATGGAGGATGGTGAAACCGAAGTTTGAGCCAAGAAGCTGACACCTGAAACAATGAAGAAAAGTTAGGGTGTAGCCGGAAATGCACGGAAGGTTCAAGGACTTGTAAGAAAAGTGAAAAAGTGAAAACGGACAAAGGTTGGCGATATCTTTTGACACGTAAAGAGAGCGGGTGGGTCCGTCAAACAGTAGGAGGTAATAGAGGTTCATCACGAGGTAGCGAGTCGTTGTAGTTCAAGAAGTTCAGCCCAACGAGCACGAATCTGAGACTGAGGGCGCTGCATTTTGCTGGCAACATAGCGCCAGCTGGGTCGAAGTCGTTCGTTGCATTTGAGACTGAGAAGAAGGTCATCATCTTTGGTGCTCCAGTCATCGTCCCATGAGGTGTCAGAGTGGGGGGCATGGAGAGGCAGGGAGGGAGGAAGGGGTGGCAGAAGGAGGTGGAGAAGGTCGGGCGCGAGAAGGAAGGGGAACCGGGGGTGCAGAGGAAACGAGGGAGCCGGAAGGAGAGGGAGAATGAGGTGGAGCACAGGTCGAGGGAAAAGGGTAGGCAAAGTCGGGAGGGGAGAGTGCGGGAGAGGGAGGAAGGGAGAGAGGAGCAGGAAAAGAAAGGGCAGGGGAGGGGGGGTTGTGGTGAACGAGGTGGGGAGGGGTGGGGCGGAGGCGAAGAGGGGGAAGGAATACAAGGGAAAGGAGAGAGGGAGGGGGCAGGGGGAGTATTTGTTCCAGCCGATGATGTAGGCGATGGAGGTGGAGCCCTGTGGTCGGTCGGCGATTGTAGTTGCCGAAGCTGTAGCTGAAGTCCTGGAGATCCACACGGTGCCCATGTAATAGAGGGGCAAGTGGT